CATCTCCTCAAATCCTATATAACATCTCATTCCATTGCATTAAAATCTACTTGCATAATGAGTGTGTATGAGTATATTAGAATAAATAACTTATAGGGCAAAATTCAATTTGCCCCCTTGTGATTTAAGCTTGGAGTATTTTACCTCCTGATTGTTTAAATATAGGCAAATAGCTCCTATGTAATTTTGAACTTAAATGCAATACTAACTCCATTAACAAAAAAATCTAAAATGACATTAATACCCCAATGTATTATTCACTTTCTCACCTCTGTATATAAATAAGTAAATAAATAAAAGAAGCAACTCCCTGAAAAAGAATAGAAAGGCTTCTTATAAGCTTATTTAATTTGCACGTCTTTTCCTTGCCAAGATTCTTCTTGCATGAGTAACAAAAAATAAAGAAAATTATCAAATTGATAGCTCTTTAATCAATTAGCACAAAACCCATATTCCTTTTTTGCAACAAAGAACCCTACATCACCTAGAAACTATTAACTGAACAATTGAATTACGAAAGCTTTGTTTCACTAGTAGAGGGTACTTTGTAACAACCTCGATCTGTGATTAACTGTCAAACCATGATTAAGAATGCCTAATAAGTAATTAGGAGGAACTTTTACGTTAATTGCATGTGTCATATGTTATTTGCATTTATATCTGCTCATTGTAGGAATCTCTGTTTATATTTCCGATTCGATATGTGAATTGAAGGCCTTACCAACACCCGATCGCGAAATTGACTTGGTTTATGTGTTATTTAAAATTTTTAGAATGTTATGGTAGATTTAATTGAAATTGCTTTCGAAACCAAATAATTAGAATAACATGTGTATAGTTGATTAACTTAAGCATACATTGATTAAGCTCCCTAATTAGCCTATATAAGACCACTTCCAACACCTTTGATACACTTTACACTCTCAACCCTTCATGTTTGAGGCTAAACTGAGAGAGAGAGAGAGAGAGAGAGAGAGAGAGAGAATGGGAAGTTGAGATCAAACAAGGGAAATTGAAGAGAATTTGGAAGTATTAGCTTGGAAACTCCAACAATTAGCCATCTAGAGCACAATTGAGAAGCCAAGGTAAGAGTTAAACCCTTTAGTTATGTAATTAAGTTAGCTAATGTTAGAATTCAAGCGAATTGAGAGATAAATCACAAGAATTAAGCTAAACTTTAAGAATTAAAACTCAAGTCATGCATGCATGCATGCATATTTCATGGCATTGAAGTGTTTTTCAAAGAATTTCTTCTTGTATGTTCTCATTTTGGCTTTATTCTAAGAATTTAACATGTATTTGAGTTAAACACCTTATTTGATCATGTTTTGAAAGCTTTGGAGCCAAGACAATTAATGCATGTTATCTTCATGTTAGGTTCTTCAAGTTCCAAGTTTGATTTTGCACAATTAGCATACTTTTGGGCTTTGATTTTGTGAAATGATTTTGCATTCACCATGTTTTATGAGTTTACATATGTTTTCTCAAGTTTTGGACCCAAAAGGATTTTTTTTTGTGGGTTTGAATTTGAGCTTTGAACTCGAATCTGTAATCTGAAAATTCCAGAATTTGCACCCTCTGCTCAAGCGATGGAATCTGCACTTGAGCGAAGAATGCAAGCTGCCTGTACTTTTACAGAAGTTGCACTCGAGTAGAGATCCTCTTTACTCAGCCTTGCGCTCGAGCGACCGTCAAGCGTCTATCGAGCGAAAAATTCAAGCACCTAGTACTTTTGCAGACTTTGCATACCGCTTGAGCGACCAAAGTTGCGCTCGAACGGACTGTCCTATTTTTGAAAATTTGACTAAGTGTTTTGAAGCACATTTTGGTATCCTCATTGCATCTTAGGCATTTTTAAGCTCCAATTAAGACATAATAATGAGGATAAAGGCTAGAAACACACTAAGAATGAAACGAAATAAGTTAAGTACTATCTGAGCATGTGTTTCAATATGTGTATCTGTTCTATGTTTGTGTAGGTCATGCGCCGTGATCTGTTGATCCATTTGTTCTGTTATCAAAGCTGTCTGTGAGTAATAACTCTGTAAAGTTATGTTCAATATGGAATACTTTTTGAATATTATGATACGATATGATCAGTTTTTGAAACGGATGGTACAAAATGCTATTTTGAGATTACATAAATGATGGCCCAATTTTTTGAAATGTATTTGTAGTATCCTTAGTGGAGGCCCTCGCCCAGGGGGAATAATACTATGGTTTATGGTCATGAGGCCCTCACCTGAGGGAAACAATACTGTGGCATGAGGCCCTCGCTCGGGGGAAACAGTACCGTGGCATGAGGTCCTCACCCGGGAGAAACAATACCGTGGCCTATGTATGTCACATGATACCCGGTACCGGATATTCCATTATGGAACTTGATATGGTTGCCCAATATGATTTGTTAATGCTAATGGATTTACCACACATGATTTGTATATGAATATGAATATAACTCTATTTCTGATACGAATACGAACATGATTATGTTTCTGACTTGGCATTAGATTTGAAGTTTGATTTCTGAATCCGTTATGGATATCATTCATTAAAATTTTTACTCTGTTATTATTCACTGGGCTCTAGCTCACTGTAATATTTATGTATGTAGGTGATCAGGCGCTTGATCGGGCTCAATGATGATCGCCTGTACTTCAGTTTTGTCAGCCAACCTTTACGCCTCCCGAAGAGGTTCAAGAAAGAGTTAGTGATCGAGTTTTGTGAATCAAATAATAAGTTTAAGACTTTTGGCTGGCCTAAGTGAACAGTTCTTTTGTATTATATGTTTATTGAAGATGTAGGATGTATGTGTTCATGATGTCATATGTGGGTATACGTATATAAGTTTCATATCTACTGTCTCATGTATGTCTGCACAACTCTATGGACAATGAATTTTGTATAATTGCTTCCGCAGCCCCCTTATATTACATGATATTATGTTCAAAGGCCTTTTCTAATCCCAGGATTACTGGCCGGTTACGATGCTAAACCTATAGGGGTAGGTTTGGGTCATGACAGAGTGGTATCAGTATCCTCATTGCATCTTAGGCATTTTTAAGCTCCAATTAAGACATAATAATGAGGATAAAGGCTAGAAACACACTAAGAATGAAACGAAATAAGTTAAGTACTATCTGAGCATGTGTTTCAATATGTGTATCTGTTCTATGTTTGTGTAGGTCATGCGCCGTGAGCTGTTGATCCATTTGTTCTGTTATCAAAGCTGTCTGTGAGTAATAACTCTGTAAAGTTATGTTCAATATGGAATACTTTTTGAACATTATGATACGATATGATCAGTTTTTGAAACGGATGGTACAAAATGCTATTTTGAGATTACATAAATGATGGCCCAATTTTTTGAAATGTATTTGTAGTATCCTTAGTAGAGGCCCTCGCCCAGGGGGAATAATACTATGGCTTATGGTCATGAGGCCCTCACCTGAGGGAAACAATACCGTGGCATGAGGCCCTCGCTCGGGGGAAACAGTACCGTGGCATGAGGTCCTCACCCGGGAGAAACAATACCGTGGCCTATGTATGTCACATGATACCCGGTACCGGATATTCCATTATGGAACTTGATATGGTTGCCCAATATGATTTGTTAATGCTAATGGATTTACCACACATGATTTGTATATGAATATGAATATAACTCTATTTCTGATACGAATACGAACATGATTATGTTTCTGACTTGGCATTAGATTTGAAGTTTGATTTCTGAATCCGTTATGGATATCATTCGTTAAAATTTTTACTCTATTATTATTCACTGGGCTCTAGCTCACTGCAATATTTATGTATGTAGGTGATTAGGCGCTTGACCGGGCTCAATGATGATCGCCTGGACTTCTGTTTTGTCAGCCAACCTTTACGCCTCCCGAAGAGGTTCAAGAAAGAGTTAGTGATCGAGTTTTGTGAATCAAATAATAAGTTTAAGACTTTTGGCTGGCCTAAGTGAACAGTTCTTTTGTATTATATGTTTATTGAAGATGTAGGATGGATGTGTTCATGACGTCATATGTGGGTATACGTATATAAGTTTTATATCTACTGTCTCATGTATGTCTGCGCAACTCTATGGACAATGAATTTTGTATAATTGCTTCCGCAGCCCCCTTATATTACATGATATTATGTTCAAAGGCCTTTTCTAATCCCAAGATTACTGGCCGGTTACGATGCTAAACCTATAGGGGTAGGTTTGGGTCATGACAGAGTGGTATCAGAGTACGAGTTATACCATACACACGAGTCCATATGAGCTATAGGATGTCCTAACAAGAATTAGGGACATTACATCTGCATGTGTGAGTGGGTGTGTTAATTTCTGTGAATATGAAAAATGAATCTGAACATGAACCCATGAAACTGAAAAGAATGAACTGAAATTGAACACTGCAAAGAGAATTATTTACCTATGTTTATAAATGCTCTGTTTACCTATAGCAAATGAAAAATACAAGAAATAATGGTATAACTGAATCTTTTGAGACTCGCATGAACCGAATGGAAAGAATGCTTGAAGCTTTGACAGAAGCAATAATGCAACAACAAAGACAACAACCTCTGCCTCCTCTGCCTCCTCCGGTCCAAGCAGAACCGATAAACAATGACATCATCAGCTTAACTTAAAGATTCAATAAGATGAAGCCATCTAATTTCTTAGGTGGAATAGAACCTTTAAAGGTTGAAACGTGGATACTAGAAACTGAGAAGTTATTTGATGTCTTTTCATGTACCGAGACTCATAAAGTTTTGTTGGTCACCTACACCATAAAGGACGAAGCCTGACGTTGGTGGATGTTTGTTTGTGAAAGCAGTGGGACTTTGACTTGGGATCAATTTAAAGAGATTTTCTATAAAAAGTACTTTCCCCAGTGCTTTCAAGACCACAAAGTGTCTGAATTTCAAGAACTCAAGCAAGACAACATGTCTGTAGTTGAGTATGAGGCTAAATTCACTGAGTTAGCACGATTGGTCCTCGCATGGTGAATACGGACTCTAAGAAAGCTCGAAAATTTGAAGAAGGGTTGGATTTAGATGTGTTTGATTGGGTTGGTGTACTGAAACTGCCCAAGTACGTTGATGTGCTTGATAGAGCTCTAATGGCTGAAGCTAACTTAGCTGCAAAGAGAAAAACTAAAGCCCTAACAACTGAATGAAAAGGTAAGAGATCCGGATCAATTTCAAAAAGGTCGGTCATTTTCAAAGAAGCAAAACACGGGGTCCTCTAGTAGCTCTAGTTAGAATAGTAGATCTACACCTGTTTGTTCTGAATGTGGAAGGAAGCACAAGGGTGTATGTTACCATGCATCTGGTGCCTGTTATCGGTGTGGCAAGGTTGGCCACATAATGAAAGATTGTTCGCTTGGGTCCGAGAATGCCAATCACCCCATAGTAAGTTCAGCGGATCTGCTTCTGTATTGAGGTCAAATGCAAGAACCAATGCTAAAAGTAACACCGATAATGAAACGTTAAGGCAATAGAGAGTATTTTCACTAGTGCCTGGGGATGTGCAGAACACCGAGCTTGTGGTGTCTGGTATAATTTCCATTTGTGCCCAAAATGCATATGTCTTGATAGATTTTGGTTCTACACACTCTTTTGTGTCGCATGCCTTTTCTCGGAAATTAATTAGACCTTTAGAACCCATGAATTGTTTACTGTTTGTATTTACACCATCCGGGGGTTCTATGGTTTGTGCTTATGTTTATCCGGCATGTGATATTGTGATTGGTGATGTGACGTTGTATACTGATTTATTGCCATTGGGTATTGATCATTTTGACTGTATACTGTGCATGGACTAGTTGACAAAATACTATGCAACTATTGATTGCGTGAATAAATATGTTGTGTTTTATCCACCTGGTTTACCTGTTTTTTTTTAGGGGGGGGGGGAATGGGGTGGTTCCTCCCACATACTTGATTTCTGTCATGAAAGTTGTTAAACTGCTTAGGAAGGGATGTAGGGGCTATCTATGTTGTATTTTGACTGAGAGTTCTGATAGTCCTAGTGTGGAAACTATTGCTACTGTTTGTGAATTTCCCAATGTGTTTCCGAATAACTTGCCTGGGGACTTAATTGATGGGAAGATTGAATTCATTATTGATATAATACCTGGAACACAACCAATTTCCAAAACCCCATATAGAATGTCAACCTCTGAATTGAAAGAATTGAAATCTCAACTTCAAGAATTACCAGATAAGAAGTTTATTCACCCGAGCACTTCACCTTGGGGTGTTCCAGTTTTGTTCGTAAAAAAAAAAGATAGATCTTTGAGGCTATGTGTAGACTATTGGGAATTGAACAAAGTGACTATGAAGAACAAATACCCACTGCCCCGTATAGACGACCTATTTGACCAACTCCTAGGAGTACAAGTGTTCTCTAAGATAGACCTTAGATCAGCTAAAAGTTAAAGCGGAAGACATAGAAAAAACTACATTCAGCACTAGATGTGGTGATATAATACCTGGAACACAACCAATTTCCAAAGCACCATATAGAATGTCAACCTCTGAATTGAACGAATTGAAATCTCAACTTCAAGAATTGCCAGATAAGAAGTTTATTCACCCGAGCACTTCACCTTGGGGTGTTCCAGTTTTGTTCGTAAAAAAAAAAGATAGATCTTTGAGGCTATGTGTAGACTATTGGGAATTGACCAAAGTGACCATGAAGAACAAATACCCACTGCCCCGTATAGACGACCTATTTGACCAACTCCTAGGAGTACAAGTGTTCTCTAAGATAGACCTTAGATCAGCTAAAAGTTAAAGCGGAAGACATTGAAAAAACTACATTCAGCACTAGATGTGGACACTATGAGTTTTTGGTAATGCCGTTTGGGGTGACTAATGCACTTGCTGCCTTCATGGACCTTATGAACATGGTGTTTAAATCATATCTGGATGAATTTGTTGTTGTATTCATTGATGATATTTTAATTTACTCTAAAAGAAGGAAAGAACGTGAGAACCATTTGAGAATTGTGTTACAAACTTTAAGAGAAAGAAAATTATATGCAAAATTTTCAAAATGTGATTTCTGGGTAGATAGTGTGACATTTCTGGGGCATGTAATTAACAAGGATGGCATATTAGTTGATCCATAGAAAATTGAAGCCATTGTAGACTGGTCTAAACTAACAAATGTATCAGAAGTCAGAAGCTTTCTTGGGCTTACAAGTTATTATAGCAGATTTGTGAAGGATTTCTCTAAACTTGCCATCGTTGACGCAGTTAACATAGAAAAATGTATCATTCAATTGGCATGATCAACGGGAGTCAGCCTTTCAAGAATTGAAGACTATATTGGTAACTACACATATTCTGGCATTGCCCAATGGAACCGATGGGTTTTAAATTTACAATGATGCTTCATACAAGGGTTTGGGGTGTGTGCTAATGCAGAATAGTAAGGTAATTGCTTATGCTTCTCGTCAACTCCAACCTCATGAAAAGAACTACCCAAGTCATGATCTTGAACTAGCAGCTGTGGTGTTTACTTTAAAAATCTGGCGTCACTATCTATATAGAGTGACTTGTGAAGTATACATTGACCATAAAAGCCTGAAATATTTCTTTACTCAAAAAGAACTAAACAAGAGACAGAGAAGTTGGCTCGAGTTAATCAAGGATTATGACTTGCAAATCCTGTATCACCCAGGGAAAGCTAATACAGTTGCATAGCTGGAAGTCTATTGGGAATTTGTCATGTTTGCTCACTGGCCAGAAAGAATTGTTGTGTGATTTGGAAAGAAATGAAATTGAAGTAGTTTTGTGTGAACATGTTGGAATCCTAGCTGTCATTTATGCTCAGTAGTTGGGGAAGTTAAAGAAAAGCAATTACAAGATGAATTTCTGAAGAATATTGTTGATGAAAATGAATCAAAACGGAGGTTGGAATTTGTGTATGAAAACAATGTGTTGAAATTTCTGGGTAGACTTTGTGTACCAGACCACTCAGAACTGAGAAAACATATTATGACCGAAGCTTACAACTCAAAATTTGCTATGCATCCGGGAATACAAAGATGTACCATGACTTGAAACAGAATTTCTGGTGACCTGGAATGAAGAAAAGTATTGCTGATTTTGTGGCTAGGTGTTTGTATTGCCAACAGGTAAGAGTTGGACATCAACGACCCGTTGGATTACTTCAGCCGCTTCCAATACCGGAATGGAAATGAGAGCACATTATGATGGACTTCATTGTTGGATTGCCTCGCTCGTCCCGAGGTATGGACTCTATCTAGGTAATTGTTGACCGTTTGACTAAATCTACATACTTCTTACTTGTCAAAACTTTATATAATATGGATAAATTGGCTAACATTTATGTGAATGAGATTGTGAGATTGCACGGTGTGCAAGTATCCATTGTATCTGACAGAGATTCTAAGTTCACACCAAGTTTCTGATAGAGTTTACAACAGGCTTTGGGAACTGAACTCAGACTGAGTAGTGCTTATCACCCACAGACTGATGGCCAATTTAAACGAACCATTAAAACCTTGGAAGATATACTTAGAATGTATGTGTTAGACTTCCAAGGAAATTGGGACACTTATCTACCTCTGGCTGAATTTGTATACAACAATAGCCATCATTTAAGCATTGGAATGGCTCCTTATGAAGCATTGTATGGTAGGAAATTCCGATCTCTGATTTATTGGGCCAAAGTAGGCGATAGATCGTTATTGGGACTGGAACTTGTTCAAGAAGCAATTGAGAAGGTGAAACTGATTCAACAATGATTAAAAACTACACGGAGCCGCCAAAAGAGTTATGCGGATGTCCGAAGAAGTGACAGAGAATATGAAGTTGGGGATCACGTATTTATCAAAGCAACTCCGATGAAAGGCCAAACACGATTTGGTGTGAAGGGCAAGTTGGCACCGAGGTACATTAGACTGTATGAAATTCTTGAGAAAATCAATCCGGTAACATATCGAGTGCCTTTACCTCTGATCATGGAACATATGCAACATGTCTTTCATGTTTCAATGCTTCGAGAGTATTTGAGAGTTCCGTTCCATGTGATTAAACCAACTCATGCGCTTCTAAAAGATGATTTTACTTATGAAGAACGGCCAATACATATTGTTAACAGCTGAATCAAAAGACTAAGAAACAAAAAAAATCCCATTTGTGAAAGTTGATTGGCAAAATCATGGAGGAACTTATGCAACATGAGAAACTGAAGAAGATATGATGAAGAGATACCCTGACTTGTTCCCTTTGGATCCGATGTTCTTCTAAAATGAAGGGAATTCGAGTTTAGAATACCAAAATCTTTAAAGGAGGAAGACTGTAACAACATCGACCTGTGATTAACTGTTAAACCATGATTAAAAATGCCTAATAAGTAATTAGGAGGAAAATAGTAGATCTACACCTGTTTGTTCTGAATGCCTAATAAGTAATTAGGAGGAACTTTTACTTTAATTGCATGTGTTATACGTTATTTTCATTTATATTTGTTTATGGTAGGAATATCTGTTTGTATTTTCGATTTGATATGCGAAATGAAGGCCTCACCGGCACCTAATCGCGAAATGAGGTAAGGAGGATGATGATGACGCAAATGTAGGTAAGGAAAGAAAAAGTAATAAGTAGTTGTTAGCCTCAGCCGTAGAAGATATAGAGTGTGATATGGGAAACCAACGTGTCAGAGGTGGCTGGAAGCAGGATGGGCTAGAACATATGGTAAAACCAAGAAAAGAGGTGGCTAATGAAATTCAAATTGTTGAAAGTGATATTTGCACTCCTAGATTGGCACCTGATCGCGAAATTGACTTGGTTTATGTGTTATTTAGAATTTTTAGAATTTTATGGTAGGTTTAATTGAAATTCGGTTCGAAACCAAATAATTAGAATAACATGGGTATAGTTGATTAACTTAAGCATACATTGATTAAGCTCCTTAATGAGCCTATATAAGACAGCTTCCAACTCCTTTGATACACTTTACACTCTCAACCCCTCATTTTTTAGTCTAAACCAAGAGAGAGAGAGAGAGAGAGAGAGAGAGAGAGAGAGAAGGGGAACTTAAGGTCAAACAAGGGAAATTGAAGAGAATTTGGAAGAATTAGCTTGGGAACTCAAACAATTAGCCATCTAGAGCACAATTGAGAAGCCAAGGTAAGAGTTAAACTCTTTAGTTATGTAATCGAGTTAGCTAATGTTAGAATTCAAGTGAATTGAGAGATAAATCACAAGAATTAAGCTACACTTTAAGAATTAAAACTCATGCCATGCATGCATGCATATTTCATGGCATTTTGAAGTGTTTTTCAAAGAATTTCTTCTTGCATATTCTCATTTTAGCTTTATTCTAAGAATTCAACATGTATTTAAGTTAAACACCTTATTTGATCATGTTTTGAAAGCTTTGGAGCCAAGAAAATTTATGAATGTTATCTTCATGTTACGTTCTTCAAGTTCCAACTTTGATTTTGCACAATTGACATGCTTTTGGGCTTTGATTTTGCGAAATGATTTTGCATTCATGTTTTATAATTTTACAGAGGAAAATCAAGAGTATGGTTAGAGAAAGGAAGATTGATGTACTTTTGCTGTAAGAGACAAAGAGATGTAGTGTTGATGGAATCTTTGCCAAGTTGCTATGGCCATGGGGGGAAATGGAATACATGGAGGTGGGTGCTGTTAGTAGTGCTGGTGGCATCTTATGCTTATGGAATCCAGCCATTTTTGAATTAAAAGAGTGTTGTAGTAATATAAATTTTATCTTATTGTCAGGTATGGCTCAAAGCTCTTTTGATTGCGTTTTGGTAAATGTATATGCTCCAAATGTTGTTGAGAGAAGAAAAAAACTCTGGGACTCTTTGTCTAGATTAAAGATTTTTTTACTCAAATCCTTGGTGTATTGGTGGGGATTTCAATGAGATTAGATTTCTAAATGAAAGGAAAAGATGTACTAGAAGGAAGAGGGGTATGAGAGAGATTAATGAGTTCATTGAACAAATGGAATTGAGTGATATCTCAATGCTTGGTAGAAGATTTACATGGTGTAATGCATTGGATGTGGAGAGGTGGAGTAGGATTGATAGGTTCTTGTTAGACACCATTTGGTTGGAAAGGTTCTCTTTTAAACAATGGGGTTGCCAATAACCATTTCAGACCACTGCCCATTATTGTTAAAAAAGGATAAGAGGGATTGGGGTCGAAAACCTTTTAGGTTTATAACTGTTGGACTAAACACCCTAAGTTTATGTCAAAAGTGAATAAAGTTTAGGAGGAAACACAAGTCACAAGTTGGGCAGGTTATAGATTAATGAGAAAGCTCTATAATCTTAGAGCACATTTGAGGAGATGGAATAAAGATGTGTATGATAATGTTGATAGTCAACTCAAGTTAATAGAAGATGAATTACATGAGTGGGATTTGAAGGCAGAAACAAAATCCTTGGAAGAATCAGAGATCAGAAAAAGAAAGGAAATTCGTGGAATAGCATATGAACTCAATAAAACAAGTGAAAGCATGTGGCTCTAGAAATCGAGGTTGGCTTGGGCTCAGAATGGTGACAAGAACACTAGATTTTTTCACCTGATGGCAAGCAATAGGCAAAGGAAAAATTTGTTAGACTCATTAGAAGAAAATGAAGTAAGGCTTGAAGAACCACAACAGATCAAACAAGCAGTAGTCAGACATTTTAGCAAGCTATTTTAAGAAGATTGGCGTAATAGGCCAAAATTCTCAGGTCCTTTTCAGTCTATCAGTAATAGGGAAGTGGAGGCTTTAGAGGCAAAGTTCATAGCATCGGAGAATTGGTTTACTGTGCAAGATTGCGATGGAAAGAAGGACCCTGGGCTAGATGCTTTTAACTTAACAAGTATTCAGAAATGATAGAAGGTCATGAAAAGGGAGGTTGTGCAGCTGTAGACACCCCATTTTTGACCGACCTTAAGACTCCGACGTCATCATTCGTGCACGCGATGATCGCGCATGTTTGTACTCGTTTCAAGTTTCTCAGGTTTTCGGTTGAGCGCTTTGTCTCGGAACCTCTTAACTCTCTTCTTCTTGGTTTGTTTCTGGACCATTGCCTTGGTGCCTTTGCCTGGAGGGAGAGAGAGGCCTGTAGGCCACTTTTTGTAGTTGTAGGCTACTTTTTCCTCTTGTAGGCCACTTGTAGTGGCCCGTAGGCTAGTTTCCGGGGCCTCCGGTTGAGTGCCTTGTCTGGTAGCCTCTTAACTCTCTTCCTTTTGGTTTGTTTTTGTGCCATACCTTGTTCCCCCTTGCCTAGAGGGAGGGGAGAGGTTGTCGGCCACCTTTGGCTCTTGTAGGCCACTTGTCCCTCCTGTAGGCCACTTTAGGTGGCCGGTAGGCCAGTGGAAGTGGCTGGTTTTCCACTGGAGGTGGCCGACGGCCATTTTCTTGCTTTTTCAGATACTTTTATTGCCAGTTGTGCCAGCTGTTGGGCACAGAAGGCATCCTCCATACACGTGTATGGAGGGATTGCACCAAGCTTCTAGCTTGTCCAACAAGCTTGAGACTGGGATTTCTATAAGAGGGGAGGCTCCTCTCCCCTTTCCTTTCAAGGGTTCATATTTTTGAAGAGTAAAAAATATCTACTCTCTCTCTAGAATTCTCCCTCTCTCTCTCTCCATAGTTGTGCCTTAAAGTGTTGTTTCTTCATACTTTTGCACACAAACACCTACTCAAACACCTTTATCTTGTTGCTGAGGTACTTAAAAGCCTTATTTGAGTGGTTTTAGCGGGTCATTTCCCTCATAAGTTGTTGTTTTTGCTATGGTTCTTCAAGGGTGAGTAGTTACCCTCTTTAAGCTTTGTTTTGCTTAAGTATTTGGCCATCCTTGCATGCTCTTTTAGGCCTAACTTGCAACTACAAAAAGCTCTTTTTTTAAGTGCTTAGAATGTTTGTTTGAGGTCTCTTTGGTGTTGAGGGTGTTCTACCCTCTTGTATGCCTTATTTGCTTAGGCTTGGTGCCATCCTTTAAGGCCTTTGAGATCTCCTTTGTTTAGCCTTTTCACCACTGAATTCCAGAGGAATTTCAGTGGTGGAAAGTGGGTTTTGAGACCCAAAATGGATGGGGGTGGTCCTCGCCTTTTGTGCTTTGTTTGCATGTGTTGTTGGCTTAACACTTTGGCATGTTTTTCTATCTTCATAAGGCTCTATCTTAGCATGTTTTAGGCCTTATTTTAACATGTTATACCTCTGTTTTGGGTTGGTTTGGCCTCATGTTGTTTGCTTTTTGCACTTGTAGTGTAAACTTGTTCACTAGCCAAACATGCTTCATAAGTTAGCTTGTTATTCTAGCATGTATTGGCTTCATTCCAGTATATTTTTGGTGTTATTTTGGCATGCTTTAACTCTGATTTCAGTTGGTGGGGTCACCTCTTGCTTGGTCTTTGTACTTGTAGTGCGATCCTCCTTGTAGGCTTAACATGCATCATGCTTTGTGCCTCTAATTCTAGCTTGTTTTAGCTCTGCTCCAGTAGGTTCTTAGCCTTGTTTTGACTTGCTTAAACTCTGTTTGGAATGATCTTGGCCCTTTGGGGCTTGCCTTGTGTGGCCATAGTGTAATGGCCTTTGCTAGTCTTGTGTCTTGGGACCCCTAGCATGCCTTATTT